TAGCCGTTAGCACGGGCACGTTAGCAGAGCAGTGTCCCATTCGGGAGCCGTGCCATGAGGTTTTAATTGGTATTTTTTTGCAAGGGCAAGAGTGGAGCTTTGTCTCTTTTTTTCTTCTCCACTGGCCCTGCAAACTCCTGGTAATTAGGGCGAGGGAAAGGCTGGCCAGCTGTGTCCTCCCATGGGCTTGCAAAGGGGCAGGGGATGTGCTGAGATAGGCAGCCGCTGACATCCTGGCGCTGATTGAACGATGCCGTTTGAATGGGGCTGGGCCGTGTCCAGCGAGTGTAGTCGGGGGATGCTCGATGGCCTCGCAGACCCGATCAACCCATGCTGGGGAGCGGAGGCGGTGAATGCCACTAGCTGCTGGAGCGGCTCCGCAGAGGCAGTGGTGTTGCCGTGCCCCCACCGAGCCTTTGTAGACGGTGTCATTGCTCCCCCGTCCCGCTGCCTGGGCTCTGCAGGGATGGCCGGGTCGGATGCTCTGGCCTGTGTCATGCCGCAGGTCAGGCGAGATGCCCTCGCCGTCAGCAGGTGCCTGACGCTCCGGCACCCGCTTTAGTGCCCGACTAACGGGACGCGACGAACGTGGCCCGGTGCTGACGCCTTGCGGTTCGGGATTTTCCAGGCGCAATGACTGACCAGCCGAGCCCTTCCGAGCAGATGGCCACTGGGGACGGCTTCGGTGGAAGAACTGGCACGTTCAAGGTACAGACGCGATGGTCGGTCACGGGCTCGTGTTGCTCCAGGGGTAGAGCAGGCCTCCGGGCCAGACTTGAGCTCTAGGATACAGCAGTTGTTTATTGTCGCCCCTGTTTTCAAGCAGCCCCGTCCCGCCGCCCTGAGCAGCACACGGCTGCTTGATGCCGTCCCTCCTGCCCCGTGCACGCGCGTGCCTGCAGAAGGGGGCCGCGCTCCAGGCCTCCATCCCATCCCGATCACCCGCTCATCCGTAGCGGCTTAGCAGCGGGTCTCTTGTCAGGGAAGAGACTTTTTCTGAAGCTAAATTCCTTACGGCCGCGTCGTAGCCCTGTCTGCTGGTGAAAGCAGCTCGGGTGGCTGTTGTGGCCGCTCGCAGGCGGGTCTCCTCGGGTGGGGGCAGAGAAATGCTGTGAGCGAGGGTGAGATCGGAGCCCCGCACGCGGCCGGTGCTGCTGCCGTGCTTTCTCTGTGAAAAGAGCGTCAGGCCAGCGCAGCAGCGTGGGCATTTGTACCCGCAGGAAATATACCTGCCGGGGCATTTGTACCCACCAAGGCTCTGCAGGGACTATGCAGGGCAGCAGCAGAAGGCAAGGGCTAGCATCCCTAGCATTTGATAACACCCCTCTGGTGCAGCTTCCCCTCTCTCTGGAGAGGAGACGGCATCAGCCCCATGATTGCTACGGGAGCCGAGTGCATGGCGTGGCACCGTGGCTCTTGGTCTTGTAATTGGGCTCCACGTGGCAGAGGGACTTGCCCACGCATGCTATGCTTGAGGGCTGGGTCCGGCGGGCTGGCTGGGCTCTGGGCGTCCCCTGGAAGTCCCTGCCGGGGGATTGCTGGTGGCGGTGCTGCGGCTGGCAGCTCCCATGCATGCGGTGCGGGTGGGTGCTGCGGCTTTTCTCTCAGGGGTTGCCAGTGGCGTTCCTTCAGAGCTGCTGTTTCCTGCTCCTGGGTTTGCCACACGACCTCAGCAAGTTGGGCTGGGGTTGGGAAGGGGCAGCCCTGCTACCCAGAGGCCCCCGGGTGCACATGCAGCTAACTCAACCCGTGCTGGAAGGAAAGGCCAGGACAAGGATCTGGAGGGTAGGGAAGCCGGGCACAGTGCACCAGCCTCCGGGGTGGGAGGCTGCAGCTTGGAGCAGGGTCCCGGGTGAGCTGCGGGCAAGCTGCGATGCGCGTCTCGGGTCGGTTCGACCGGCCAGTGCCCGGTTTGCCCTCTGCCTCCGCTGACCCCAGGAGCAATCGCACCCCGTGCTTTGTGCTCAGCACTGGCTATCGAGTCCGAGCATGAGCCGTCCGCCTTGCCAGGAGGGTTGCTGGCTCTGGGCCGGCTCCAGTGTCGGGAGGTAGCAGGGTGGCCGGGGCCAGGGCGGGCCGGCTCCTCTCCGGGGAGGCAGCGTGACTGCACGGTCCCTCCTCGCAGATCGCCGTCTACGAGCTGGAGAACTTCCAGGGCCGGAAGTTGGTGCTGACCGACGAGACCCCCAACGTGACCGAGAAGGCGCTGGAGAAGGTGGGCTCCATCCAGGTGGAGTCAGGCCCGTAAGTACCCAGGGCCGGGGCTGAGCGCTGCCGGGGCAGGGGCAGGGGGACGCGGCTTGGCCGGCACGGGGGAGGACGGGGCTGCTGGCTAGCGGGGTCCTGGCGCTGACCCGGCTTCTCCCGGCAGGTGGCTGGGGTTTGAGCGCCAGGCGTTCGCCGGGGAGCAGTACGTGCTGGAGAAGGGAGACTACCCGCGCTGGGACGCCTGGTCCAACAGCCACAGCAGCGACCGTCTCATGTCCATCCGCCCCCTGGGCATCGTGAGTCGCGCCGGCGCTGCCCCAGCTGGCTCACAGGGTGGGGGGGTGTTTTCCCCGGGAGGCTCCAAAACTGCTCCCCACCTTCTCCCCGTGTCCGGCCGGGACAAGGGGGTCGGGCTGTGGCCCCTTGCCAGCCTGGGCTTTGCCGTTAACTGTTGGCAGGATCGGGGGCTTGGACCTGGCACCTCCTCAGTTTGGGAAGGCGCTTGCCCCGTGGCTCTCCCGGCCGTGGCGCGGAGGGGCGCGCTCACCGGCATGGCCTTTCCCCCGCAGGACAGCACCGACCACAAGATCCACCTGTTTGAGAACCCAGGGTTCGCCGGCAGGAAGATGGAGATCGTCGACGACGACGTCCCGAGCCTCTGGGCCCACGGCTTCCAGGACCGCGTGGCCAGCGTCAAGGCGCTGAACGGGACGTAAGGCCGGGCCACGGGGACGGGGCCCTGCCTCGGGGACGCGATGGATGGAGGGACTTGGCAGGGCGTCACCACGAGCCAGTCTGAACCGGGGGGAGGTGGATGGGTGAGGACATCAGAGCCCAGGTCCGTCGTGCCCGTCTCCTGCGGCCCGGGGCGCAGAGGGGAGAGAGCTGGGTCTGAGCAGGGTTTCCCCCCGTTCCCCTCTCCCTCGCTGCCTCCGGCATTGTTTAGCGTTAGCACAGCCACTCCCGCACCACGGCTTGGTTGGCGGGGGGTCGGGTGCTGCCCCGAGAGCCCCTCGTGACCCGCGGGAAGGAGAGGGCTGGCCCACGGGTCCCACAACCTCGCTTGCGGCGCTGAGGCCGGGCTCTCGCTTCCACGCAGGTGGGTGGGCTACGAGTTCCCCGGGTACCGGGGCCGCCAGTACGTCTTCGAGAAGGGCGACTACCGCCACTGGAACGAGTGGGACGCCAACCAGCCCCGCATCCAGTCCGTGCGCCGCGTGCGCGACCAGCAGTGGCACCCGCGTGGCTCCTTCGAGCACAGCTGAAGGAGACCCAAGCACCCGCACCTGCACCCGCCGCCCCTTCCCGCGCCCCCCAAGCACACCAAGAAGAGGAAGCTCAAGTGATTTTACGACGATCTTTTGTGTC